TAAGGGCTCTATATAGGGTTTAGATTAGGGTCTAGGGTAACCGTCTTTAGAAGGGGTAAGATTATTGCCTATCAGCATCTACGTTAATTATTCTCCAACTGTGACTGAGTAGGGGCGGTACCCAAGTTATAGTATACTCGATATCTATGATGGGGCCCATCCATCCCCAAGTGGATCATCGGCAAGAGGGAGATTTCAGCTGAAAGCCACATTTAAACCTCTTGCTCTTTGGGGCTGCCGTGGGTTTAGGGTTTAGGGTTTAGGGTTCGAGGCTAGGGCTTGAGTAGCCTCTGAAGCCGGATCCGTAATTAATTTGTCAACCCCGCAAACCGCCCTTTCTCTGTGGGTGCATTGTTATTCTAGGTAGCTTGAACTCTAAGCCCCAAACCCTAAGACCTGAATCTGAACCCTAAACCCAGAACCCTGTACCCGAAACAGTATACCCTAAATCCTACGCCCTTAACCCTCAACCCCGACCCTCCAATGTGGTACCTTTTTGGTAGTCCTAATAAGAGTCTTAACCAAAAAGCCATACGAAACCCAAAAAGGAACTACATTGGAGGATCTAGGAATATGACCCCCATACAACCCCCATATAGCCCCAACATACTATAGTAGTTTCCATTTGATTTTCCATTTTCCCCATGTAACCCCTCAACCCCGAACCCTAATCTTTTGGTCAGAAGTTCCCAGGTGGATCCGACGAGCCGCTTGTTTGCCCGAATCGGCTTGGTTTGGGTTTTTAAGATTTTAGGGTGTAAGGAGTAGGTTTCGGAGTTTTGGGTTTAGGGTTTAAGGTTTAGGTTGTGTGGGGTTTGGGGCTCAGGGTTTGAGGATTAGTTTTGGCTTTCGGTTTAATTTGAGGTTTAGGTTCTAGGGTTAGTAGGGTTAAGGGTTTAGGGTTTCCTTTAGTAATCTTAGAAGCTGCGCAGGTAACCTTCCTTTTCTCTGTGGCCTACACGTATATGTATACACAACCCTGCCCTAGCAGAAAGGTTCAGTAGTTAATTCTAGGGTTACAGAGAGACAGAACCCCTTTCATGATGAATCTGTTCTTTGGCGAAGCCCATGGCTTGAACTTGCATAGGCCCCAAAGCTCCGAAATCCGAAAACCCTAAACCTGGGGATTTCTGTGCCGCGATTTCTGTGTTTCGGGGACAGTGTCAGCCACAGACGTCAAGCTGTACTCAGGTCTAGGTAGCCACAAGTGAGCAGTATTTTATGTTTAGGGTTTAGGCTTGGGGATACGATGGTACCCAATATAAAACCACGGATTTCGCTTCTAAAATTTGACAAAACACAATTCTTTGTTGTATGCACAGATTTTCATTTCCATTCAAGATTTCGTCGGGAGCCACCTCAGCATAGCACAAACTGCGGATTTGCCTCACCTTCCCGTTGTGTGCTGGGATGATTCAACCCCCGTTTGCAGATTTTGTTCTACCATGTTGACTTTCGTGCAATGCCCCACAAAAATGGCTCGGAAGTGTCCCCATGCACACCTGTTGCCTAAAGAAACTCTTGACAGTGAGGCCAAGCCGTGTCAGCTGATCATTCAGCATCTGCAGAACATTATTTCCCGTCTCTAGACTATTCTCGAGTATTTGCTATTGGAGGGGCCAAAGCTGCCGGTAGTTCGCTTCGCGGATGAACTGATGTCTGAGAATACTATGGTACCCAACACGTGTAAGATTGTATCCTCCCTCGGAACCCTGAACCTTAAACCCTAAACCCCTAAACCCTAAACCCCAATATTCTAGTCTAGGTAGGCGCAAGTTCTTCCGGGGCGTAGGGCACGACGTGACCCGGGCTGGCGCATGCAGCTACCGTCATTATTAGGGTTACCAAGGGGCCATTCATAAGATTTAGGGTTTAGGGTTTAGGGGTTTAGGGTTTAGGGTAAGCAAGGGACCATGAAGGGTGGACATGGGGGTATCTTTGGTAGTATTAGTTGGGTCAATCCCCCACCCAGTAATGGGTACCACAAGGTACTATTGTAGATATATTGAGGTCCTATTAACTCCATATTAAGGAGCCATTACTATAGGGGGGATTGACCTAAAGTATTAGTATAGTCCTGCATATCTTCCCTGAACACCGATCCATTAACTACATAAGGAAATATTGACTGGAGCTCACGTGACATCCAGGTCACCTGCAAACCCTGCTCAAGCAGCAGCACGAGGCCATTCGAGCTTTTTCAAGAAGACAGGGCCACCCCCTCTATTATTAAAAGAATCAGGGTCCCGAAAACATATTTCTGTATTAGCGGGAATATTCATTGAAAGAAATAGAAGGGTCGCCTTTAAGATCCTTTTAAACTCCATGGAAATGACTAACTAATTAGTCAGCTTAAGTAGGTAGTATAATTGAGTTCAACTACTTCACTAATTGCTCTTACATTGACTTTTCAATTAATTAAGAACCCCCATGGAAACTGAATAACTGATCAATTAGTGTTTTGACTAATTCTGCAATTACTTACTTGCGTTTAAAAAATAATAAGTAGTGAAGTTATTATCCGTTGAAAATTGAATAAAATGATTCAAGCAGTAGAAAAGTAGTACGAATGCAAGGAAATGAAGGGGATCCGTAATTCCTTTGTAGACCTAACAAACATCCTCATTCATCATTAGGTGGCCCTTTCAAACGTAGTTTTCTTTTCCCTTTTAAGAATAGTCTTCTGGGTTTTTAGCCCCTGAACCTCCTATTTAATATCAAGGGTTTTAATACTAGGAGGAAGCGATTAAGACGAATACGGCGTCCTTATCACAGATTTCACTTGTGTTACCTCCCCTAAACCTTAAACCCTAACCTCTAAACCCTGAATCTTAGAATTCCCACTGCAGTGCCTTCCTATGTTCATCATGTGTTGTTCCAAGTCTACGCCAAGTTGAAGCAATGCTGGTTGTGGTGGAGGTGTTGTTGGAGGTCAAAGTGTAGTGGTGGCGGCCGGGATTTCATACTTCTCTTCCTGTTACTGTTGCTTGTGTTCTTGTTGCGACAGTTGCCATATAGCCCGTTTCGCATACGTTTAGCATATCTATCTATCTATCGATCGATTTATCTATCTATCTATCTATCTATCCATCCGCCGTCCTCTTCAATTATATACTTCTATGACCATACTTCTGCCAGTGCTGCCAGGCACGCTTTGAGAATTGGGCGTATCTGCTGTCTTTCAGGCTTAGAATCAAGCGGTTAAGGTTTAGGGTTTAGGGTTGAAGGGCTTAGGGTTTAGGGCTGATGGCTTAGGGCTTAGGGTTACCGGTTTAGGGGTTCAGGTTAGGGTCTCGGTCCGGTAAGATACAACGTGTTTCCTGCGAGCTCTTGACGCTCAGGACCCAACAGCCAAGTCAATCGAGATCTCCTAAAACCTAGGTCCTAAATCTTAGGCCAAAGATCCTCAACCCTACGCCCTACTCCCTTCAGCCCTAGGTTTTACACCCCAAACCCTAACCTGAAATCCTAAACTCTAGGCCCTCCCTATGCCCCAAAAAACAAAATCTAGATCCCAAATACGAAGCCCTGAACCCTAAACACATCCTGCCCAATACAGGCCGTCATGGAATCTTTGGCCGACCATCATTTTCTGCTGCTGCAAGTCTCCCACTCTGTGCACCTTGGTACATCTGCTGGGGTTCTCATTTTTGAGGTTTGGGATTTCAGTGTTCACAGCAAAACATTCCCCTCTCAACAGTCCCTGATACTATATAACCTCTATTCTAGGGACACATAAACAAGATCCCTAGTACTTCGAAGCCCTAATTTGAGGGTTTGGTCTCAATAAGTAGGGTTCTGGGCCCCGGGCTTCAGGCTGAGGACTTTTTTTTCATGACATTCGTCGTATCGAGCCTTGAAGTGGTCGGAAATCCTAACCAGGGCTCCTAAATAGGGTACTTGGGGGGTCAGGGGGACTTAGTAAGTAGGTTAATAATGGGGATAAATGGGTTTACTATTTGGGTTATAGAGGTTATTGCCTACTTACTAAGTCTCCCTGACCCCTCAAGTAGTAGACCATTTTCCTGTACCAATATAAGCAATCACAGGCCCCAAAAGGAACTACATAGGAGCCCCTGGATAAGACTTAAAACCTAAACCCCAAACCTCAAACTGTGTTTGGATTCCGCAGCCAGATGGTCTGGCTACTGGAAAATATGATTTAGGGTTTAGGGTTTCTTGGTCCCTATCTTATGCCACCTACTTGTCTTCTCGCATTTTGCAAGGTATATAAGAGCCTGAGCTCAGGCAGAGTGGGGCGGTCCCTAGCCGAAGTCCAACAGTGCGGTCAAACCGGAGCAGGCGGGCTTCAGGGCTGGGGAGGGACATGTAGGGTTTAGGGTTTAGGGTGAAGGGTGTGGGGTCAAGGACTTAGGGCTCATGGGTTAAGGGCACATGGGCTTATGGTTTAAAGGTTTGAGACTTGAGGATTTAAGGTGTAGGGTTCAGGCCTTTGGCGTCTGCAGATCCGCGAAGAACATGCAACAGCACAGGGATCCTGCCCTGGTGTTTGCTTGGGTCGTTTATTCTTATTTAGGGCTTAGGGTTTAGGGTTTAGGGCTTAGGGTTTAGGGTAGAAAGTTACAGTTTTTGTCCAACTGCCCTTATGTGCAGGCTGTATGCAAGGGGGGCTACGGTTGGCGTTAAAGATCTTGCATGACCTCACGCACCGTCAATCCTCGAAAGTATGGCTTCATAGTGCTGATACTAGGTCCTAGGTCATGCCGGATTTGCTACCCCCCACGGGCCCTTAAAGTTACGGACACCTAGAAGGACCCGCATGTTGACAAGCCACCTACCTGGAACTGCTCTTGATGTATAATATAGTAGTTTCCATGTTCTTTTCCATTATTCCGAATTTTATTTCCTATACAACCCCTATATAATCCAGGTTCCGTTTGATTTTCCATTTTCTTCTCCATTTGATTCTCCATAATTGGGGTATAATATCCCTAAACCCATAGGGTTTCCTTATCATAGTAACTTAAGGTACCCCTAATTTTGGGAAACTCCCATATATGTTTTAGGGTTTCTAGGGTTGGGACAGATGTAGCCAAATAGTATGGTTTTAGGGCCCAAATACTATAATATCAATAATCGTTTTTGGGCCTAAAGCCCTATTATTTGGGTCCTTGGACCCTTAGGGATCTAGAGCGCAAAGCCCAAACTGTAAAGGCAATCTGGTCAAGGAGGATTCATTCGGAATGTTGGGGTTTGCCCAGGCTGTGCGGGTGTGCATTCTGGGGCATCTGATGCAGAGTTTGTGTGTTGTATCACCACACTTGGAACCTACCGGTTGCGAGGCGCTAGGTTGCTGCTGACAATGGCCATCGCAACCACAACGGCATCGACCTCATGGGATCTCCAAATATTAGGGTAATATTAGGGAAACATTAGGGTAAGGGTAATATTAGGGAAAGATTAGGGAAATATCAGGGTAATGTTAGGGTAATACCAGGGTCATTCTCAAAAGCGCGCCCCTGCGGGCCTCCGGTCCCAACCGCTTGTGTGGTGGTCAGAAGGACACGCTGGAAAGCTTGAATGCTGAGATGCACTACGAAGCCCGTAGAACCCTCAGGTCGCTCGGCTTCTTCTTCTTCGGGTTTTCCCAAGAGCTCCCATGAAGTTCCTCTCTGGGTCGTATACTATTATCCCCTAACAAAAACAATCACAAAACCAGAAAGGAATACATTGGAGCTGCTGGCTAGGGTCTACGGTGCAATTCCGGATCTGCCGAAATGTGGCCCAGAGAACAATTGCACCGCTGGTTGATCTTGTCGCGACCGGCTCAACACAATCCCTTATAATCCTGAAGAGGGAAGGGTCCTGGAGGGAACCCTAACCCAGACCCCTGATTAATAAACCCCCTCCCCTTAATAGGGATTATGATAGGGATCCTAATCTTTAGGCCCTTAAAAGGAGAGGGATTTTTAATCATGGGTCTACATTAGTCTGGCTAGGAAACTCCTTTCAGGCTTGCTCAGAAGCTCAGGAAGAGTTCCTAAGTAGATTTCAAATCCGAAGCTAAGTGAATCCTCTCCCCACTTTTTTTGGCAACTGCATCCCTAAACCCTGGCCATGCAGGGTAATTTTTGTTTTCGGGATAGTTGATCTAGGTGCCTTTTTTGCCATCCATCACAGGGTTATCAGGGTTTATATATATATATATATATTAGGACTCAAGGTTTCCCCCAGTTTGGGACTTTCTTCCTAAACTCTAAACCCTAAACCCTCAACCCTAAACCCTAAACCCTAAAGGTCCATGTGATCTGCTTTTCTTTATATTGGGGTTTCCCTGCTTTGGAAACCCTCTGAACCCTAAACCGTACTGCGAATCTTCCACGACCTGAATAGGGGGGGTGTCTACATGTAAGGGTACCTGTAAAGGGGTTTATAGGGATGATACAGGGTTATACGGGGGCATATAGAGTGTAGGGTTTAGGGTTCCCAAAATTTGGGTTTAGGGTGTTTGAGATCATGCAAAGTTTCAAGAATCACTTTGCGGATTCTGCGTACGAGGTCTGAACACCATGGTAGAACATGCAGACGGGAATGGAACCCCTATGGGAAGCAACGCGTCCTTCAACTGTATAAACCCTACAGTAAACCATCTTACTGCGGTGGCCTCCTTTGCCAGGAAGGCTTGTGTTTTACTTATGGATTCGCTTACTCCCCTCTCTCTGCACAATATTTTCGAAGGCTACCCCTTCATGAGGCTTATTTACGATTAGCTAGAACTGTTTCATGGGCAACTGTAGCGGGCGTTCGTATAGGCGTTGATGTTTGTGCTTTGGAGAATGCATGATTTGTTTTGTTGAACTGTCAAGCAGCAGGGGCCCGTGTGTGCTTTGCTCAATGTCATAGTATTGGAGAGATTAATCCTGACTCTCCATAAAATCACAGTTGCCAATTAATTTCTGAATTTGTCTTCGATTTGATTCTCCATTATCCCCATATTGGGATATCCCCAAGCCTAGACCCTGAACTCTACATGACATAGTACCTTCGTGTACTTTCCATTTTCTTTTCCACTCCTTGACATCCCTATATACCCCAGATGTTCATCATATGGAAAAACCTGAACCTTATATCCCAAGCCCTAAGCCCCAAACCGCAAACCCTAAACCTTAAGCCCTATATCCTAAATCCTCAGCCCTAAACCCTACACCCTAAGTGGCCGACATATTTCAGGCAGTCTCGAGCCCAATTCTATGTAGTATGCAGTTTAAGTCCAAGGTTTAGAGTTAGGGCTTAGGGTTTAGGGTGTAAAGGTGTAAGCGTAATATAGGGGCGTAAATACTCTATTATGGATATGTGTTCCCTGCATATTTATTCAGGGTAGCTCAAGGAGTCTCAAATGAGATTCGTAGTCATGCGGGCAGTGTATACACCATACAAACATGGGCCCTTCGCGAGCAAGCAGCAGAGAAACACCATGCAGTACTTTCGATAAACCCTGTTCTATTCCCTGTTATATTCCCGCACATGATCTTTCTTTGACCCAGTATAAATTCACATCATTGGTTCGGTCCTGTATGATCCCCAAAAGTATCCGGAATCTGCAGAAGAAGCATCGTCTTCAGGTTTGGGACGGTGGACTCGAAAGAGCTCCCGAAGCAGGACTCGAAAGAGCTCCCGAAGCAGCCCCTGCAGACGATGAAATCCTGCGACACCGAAGCTGGGAAGCCAAGAGTCTGTAAGACCAGAGTGGCGGTAGTGATAAGAGGGTTTTGCTAGCCCAAACCGTCAAGATACGAACCCGTAGGGATTGGGATTACACAAATCCCCTACAGTAAACGTTTAACTTTGACCCTAAATCCTGTTAGTCATCTGTAGGGGGCGCCATCTTCCTGAAAGCATGCAAGTAAGTCAAAGCTGACGGCCAGGGGAGGTAAAAGCGCTAAACTCTAAACCTCAAGTCTACGGTTGAGGGGTGCTTGAGGGTCAAGGGGACTTAGTAAGTAGGTAAATAAGCCCTATAAGCCAGAGCATAACTCTAGTTATCCCCTTTTTTAACCCTACTTACTTTAAGCCCCGTTGACCCTTTAAGTAAGCCCTTAACCCCAAGCGCTGAATCCTAATCCTTAGTCCTTGGACCCTAAGCCCTAAACCCTAAACCCTATACCCAAATCCAAGGACAAAGAGTCAAAGGTGTCGGAGGCTTTGGAGTCCATTGGCGAGACATCGGGAGTGGAGGCGCATTGCAAGTTCCAGTGTAGGGGTTTAGGGTTTAGGGTTTAGGGCTAGTAAGGAGTATGGGAATCTATTGCATAGGGATTCTACAGGGGCTATATTCCCCCCACTAAACTGGTCAAACCCTCCCTGTAAACCTAAAACCTGACCTGTGGGGCGCCAAGCCCTAAGCGGCCAAGCCAGCAAATGTTCAAAGATACTGTGGCCTAGTGTTTATGTAGAGAGTAAATCTTGCTCCACCCAAGATACCTTGTACACTAGATAATAAGTATATGTAAATCTATAGGAACACATATAGGACCCCAAACAGTTAGCAAAAGCTTAGGGCAAACTCAGATTGAGCGCATCGTATAGCTCTGGTATGAGAGGCTGTCACGGCTATAGCTACTTGGAGAGAAATCTGAGCATTCGGGACCATACTTTACTTGGTGCCCTGACAACCTCCCAGAGTTTGGGGCGCTATTTGTTAGCAATGCAATTAGCCAACCAGCTACAGCCATAACCTTAAACCCCAAACCCTAAAAACTGAACGCTAAACCCTAAACCTTAAACCCTAAACCCTGAACCCGCCTAAGCCCTAAACCCTGAACCCTAAACCCTAAACCCTAAACCCTAAACCCTAGATTCTGCGACTCTGAGACCCAACAAACCTGCCTGGAAACGTGAACCCAAAGCTTTTAGCGCTGTACCCTAAACCCCTAAGGGTTTAGGGTTTAGGGTTCAGGGTTTAGGGTTGTATTAGGGTTATATTGGGATAATGGAAAAGAAAATGGAAACTACAAAGGGGTTTATAGGTGTTCTGTTGGGGTTATGTGGGGATAATGGACAAAATGGAAACTACCATATTATATTGGGGTTATATTGGGGTTATAATGGGAATAATGGATACATGTCCGTATAAACCTCCCAAACCCTGAACCCTAAGACCTTACTGCCAGGTTCTTCAATCTTTTTCCACTGTAGAGACCCCGCAAAGGCTTCCTAAACCCTAAGCCCCCAAAACCACAAACACCCAAGCCCAAACCCCAATCCTAGTAAAAAAAACCTGACATTCTCAACCCTAAACTGTGAATCCTAAACCCTAAACCCTAAACCTTAAACGCTCCGTGCTTTGCTTGTAAGATACGGGGACGGAGGGCCACATGAGCTACTGTCAATGTTAGAGTTTGGCGCTGAGGGTATACGGTACAGGGTTTCTGGTAGGTTTCTATACCAAGGGGCCGTGGATATTAGCCCCCCCAACACGGAGAACCATTTAGACAACTCAAAGCCAAAGGCCATGGGAACTGGGATTAAAGGGTGGATTGTTAATATTAAGGCATCTGGGTTTTGTTGGATATTGGGTACTTGACTGAAGCATAATCAGGAAGATGCAGCTTCACGTTCATGAGGGGGAGTTCTAGGTTGCACATATCCATCTGCGGTGAGGTTTGGAGTATAGTTGTCAACACATATAGGGTTTCTTAGGAATAATGTCGAGTGTATATAGGGGCTCAAGCCGCATGTCACAAGCCCCTTGCTAAATGCATACACATAGTTTCCTAAGTTTGCATGGCCGACTTCGAGCAGAATTTGCCAGAAAGCATGCTTGTGATCCTTGAACTGTTAGCTCAACCCAACGAAATTCACCAAGATCCCGATTCTCCTCACTTTTTCGGGCCCTCCCCCAAAGCAGCTGAGCCCTGAAACGCACACGCTAAGGCGAGCACCTAAGCCCTCAACCCTGGATACCCTAAATCCTAAACCCTAAACCCTAGCCTAAACCCTAAACCCGAAATCCTGATCTTTGTGCATGGTTGTTCGCTTCTGCATGTTCAGCTGCTTATGAGTTTTCTAGGAGATCTATCACTGAGCTTTTGAGCCCTCTTAAAGGTGGTTACCGGGGATAATGAATACGCCTGCTAAAGCTCCTAAAAACCTAAGCCCTAAACCCGACCCCCTCCCCAATTGCTTACTCAAGCGTACGTGTCTAACGTTTGAAGTGCCGGGCCCTAATATGTATGGTTTAGGCTTTAGGGCCTTGAGGGGATTTGCTTATACCGGGTATGTAATGTGTGAACAGGGACCCTAAACTCTCAACTCTAAGTCTGAAACCTAAACCCTAAACTCTAAACTCCAAATTCTACACCCCAAACCCTAAACCACCCCAAATGAAGCGCCTCGTCTACCCCTAGAACTTGGCAAGGCTATCTCACCTGTATCGCACGTCTCTCGCGACTCAAACCCACGGTCTTCTGCAACGTCTAGCAGAGGCTACTTGCAGATCTAGGGTTTGGGGTTTGGGGTTTGGGGTTTAGGGTTTAGGGCTTAGGGTTTAGGGTTTATAGGGTTTATAGGGTTTAGGGTTTCGGGTTTGGGACTTCGGGTTTCGGGTTTGGAGTTTGGGGCTTAGGGTTCTGGGTTTGGGGCTAGGGTTTAGCGTTTGGGGCTTAGGGCTCAGCGTTTATGGTTCTGGGGCTTAGGGGTTATAGGGTTTAGGGTTTGGGGCTTAGTTGGGGTTTAGGGTTCGGGGGCTTAGGGCTTAGGGTTTAGGGTTTGTTTGGGACTTGCGGTTAGGGTTTAGGTTTTATAGTGCTTAGAACTGGGGTCAGATCCTTAGGCATACAGAGGGTAACTGCAAGAGGGCGCTAAGGGTACCCTAGGGCTCCAGGTAGCCCAATGTAGGTCATATTTATGGACTATTTGAGGCCCAATGTAGGTATTATTTGTAGACGTGGAGCCCTAGGGGTATATAAAGAGGGTTAGCTTTTGACGAGCTGTCGGGTTGGTGATGTTTAGGGTTCAGGGTTTAGGGTTTAGGGTATAGGGTGTTTAGAAGCAAAGTTGTGCAAGGGTAGCTTTCCAGATAGCAGTGTCCTTGCGGTACAAACCAAGAACTTGGGCCGATAATTTGCGCATCCATCCTGGGTGTTCTTAACCAGGGTCTTGATGTGCGCGGTGCTAGCATGCGCGGGCACCTCTGTTTTCAGATTTCTGTTGCCTTCAGCCTGTGTTTTCCCGGCCAGAGATCTCGAGACTATACACCTCAAGACCGAAGCCGTAGCCCAGCGCAGTTTTGATCTTCTACTCAAAACGCTAAACCCTAGGGTACAACCCTAGGGTACAACCCTAGGGTACAACCCTTTGGGTACAAGCCTGAAACCCTAGATTCCAAGGCAACGGGAAGGCCCGGCGCCCGTCCTTCACCCCGCAGCAGCTTGGTAGGTTTAGGGTTTAGGGTTCAGGGATTAGGGCTTAGGGTTTAGGGATGATAAGACAACCCTTAACCCTAAACCCCAACCATTTAGCCCAAAAGGTCGGTCTGTGGGTTCTGACTTCAAGCTGATACCTACAACTCGTCGTGTTACCTGTTTCAGTACTAGGCAGGACTGACCTGATGTTGAGGGTACAGGGTTCCAAGATCGAAGGTGTGTATTCTTGGTATACATTACATCCGCATTTTCAAAATTCCCGCATGGAAGAGGCTACATGTGTTGAGGAATGTGAGAGGGACTTCTGATAAGTTGTTTGTCTTACGTGGAAAAGTCTAAGGTTGAAACCCTGGCCCCTAGTATGCACAGTATGGGCCCTTAACCCTGGGATCCTGATATTACTACCATATACCTTCTATGTACCCTTCAGGGTCCTTGAAATCCCCTTAAATGCCAAAGGACCCACAATTATGAGCTGAGAAAAAGGTTAAGGATCATGCGGCTCCTAAAGAGGGAGACTCGGACGCTGAGTGCCGAGTAGCGAAACACAAAGCTCGGTTGGTTGCTAGCAAAGCCCTTGGGCATGTAGATCTAGTTAGTTAGCATAAGCACTTGTTTGTAGCTAAGTCCGTTTTCTTACGCTACGTTAGGGCATCTCACGTCAGAGTTTGACTCAGGTTCTCCCACGTCCCATCTTTCGGCTTTGAGTATCTGTTTTGTTTTCTTTTGCGAGATTTCAGTACATACCAAACAGGTCATATGTGCTCTCAAAACTATCACTTTTACCGTCGGCCCACCTTCATGTGTCTTGGCTTATGCCTCGAAGCTCTCGGTGCCTGGCTTTTTATGACGACGACCAGGGCAGAAGATCAACTGCAACAGCAATTGCAACTTCAACCACAGTAACACCACAGCAGCTGCAGCAGCGGCGGCGGCGGCGGCACCAACAGCTTTCAAATAAGGAGGTCCTCCTGAAAGGTCTTCCTGAAATTGCAGCGTATATACCATAGCCGCGAATTTCCCTAAGTCCTTAACCCTCAACCCTAAACGCAAAACCCATAACCCTAAACCTTAAACCCTAAACCCTGAACCGAAACCTTCAAACCCAAACACCCTTAACCTTACACCCTAAACCTAAACCTTAAACCCTAACTAAACCTAAGACCCTAAAACTTAAACCTCAAACCCTTAAGCCTAAATCGCATGCCAGGCTATTTAGCACCTTCACCCACTTCGACTTGGGCCTCCAGATCGAGGCAGCGAGAGCCGACGGAGAGCAGTCGCGGAAAAGGCTGGGACATGCCTCAAAGGGGTTGGGGTTTAGGGTTTGGGGTTTTAGGGTTAGGGTTTAGGGGTTGGGGGTTAGAGTTTGGGGGTTCGGGGTTTAGGGTTGAAGGTTTGGGGTTTCGGGGTTTCAGGGTTTAGGGTTTAGGGTTTGGGGTTTCAGGGTTGAAGGTTCAGGGTTTTGGGGTTTCAGGGTTCAGGGTTAGGTTTCAGGGGTTGCCTTGAAAGAGACAAAGGTATTTATCTAGGGGTTATATAGGGACCATGACTTGATGTCAATTGTTTAGGGTTCAGGAGTGTGCTGTTTAGGGGTTTGTAGGGTCCACAGTTTAGGGGTTTAGGGTTCAGGGGGTTAGGGTTCAGGGGTTTAGGGTTCAGGGGTTGAGGGTTCACGGGTTCAGGTTTCAGGGTTCGGGGGTTGAGTTCGGCCGGAAAGTTTAGGGCTTGGGTTTCGGGGCTTAGGGCTTCGCAACGTGTAGTTCTCTTTTTTGGGGGGGTTGAAGTCTTCAGGATTGACCTGAAGCTTCCAGCAGGCAACTGTGAAAAGGTTTACAGTCCCCCTTAATTAAGTAGATAGAATATGGATTTGACCATAGCCATAGTAAGATACCCATAATTATGGTAGTTTCCCACAAGAGGGGATCCCAAATGTAGACCGCCACCCAAAAAGGTACCGCTAATTTTCGGAAACCCCCATATATCCCATATTCTATCTACTTGAGGGGGACTGTGGGGTGTAGGGTTTAGGGAGGAGGCTGCTGGTTGTCTTTAGTTGCCAACGCCACTACATCAGAAACATCACTCTTCCCAAAGCCAGATTCTACGTATTGGGCAGTTACAGGAAAAAAGGAGCCCCTATTTTGGGGACCCCCAAGCCCTATTTAAACCCTAAACCCTATACCCTAAACCCTATAGTGACCTTCATGTAGGTTCCCACACTAAACCAAGGCATTGGGACTGAACCTCGTTTAGGCTTCTTTGAGCCTGGCTCAGTCCCTCCAGCATGGGCTATTAGACATTAAAATTCCCTATTAGTACCTTAATAGGGGTAGATTAAGGGCCCTCTAAGGTCTAATAGCCCATCCGGGCTGCTCAGTCTTCGGTCAGGGTAGAAACGCAATTGGGGAGCAATTCCCTGAGTTGCCGTCGGCCTCACAGATTAGCCTACATGAGCCATGATTATCTAAACTCCTTACAGGCGGTTGTATATAGGATTTCGGGCTTAGGGTCTAGGGGACATGTTTAAGTTTTTGGTGTCTGCAGAGGAGGACATCCGGGCTTCTTTCAGCACGCCACATAGTTATCATCCTCAATGCGTCGTTTCCACTAGTACCAAACACCTCCTACTCTCCAGTGTGCAGGGATGTCTAATGTAAGGGAAGCGACTGCTTCTCATTTTTTTTTTGCTTTTTTATTGGTTTAGGGTGTAGGATTTAGGATTTACGGTTTAGGGCTCAGGATTTAGGATTTAGGGTTTAGCTTGAGGGTTAAGGGTTTAGGATTGAGGGTTAAGGGTTTAGGATTGAGGGTTAAGGGTTAAGGGTTTAGGATCTACGGTTAAGGGTTTAGGATGTGAGGTTTAGGGTCTAGGATTTTGGACTGCTTGTTATGGTTTTTGTTTCACCATTCTTGAGCAGGGTGCTGCCTTTTGCGACTGCTGTTTTTGTGGGTTGTGGGTTTAGGGTCATCCCGTCCGCTGTCTAAGAGGGACTTTATTGGGGAACCCCAAACAGCGAACCCCAAGAATATAGTAGGAATATAAGGACCCTGGTACGCATATTCCTGTTATATTCCTACTATATTCTTGGGTTTCCCTGTTTGGGGTTCCCATTAACGTCCCTTTAGATCTAGGTCACATCGGTAGACGGACGTGTTCTTGAGTTGCTTGGCATGCTCCTCATGCGGTTCTGCGGAGGCCCAACGCGCCCCCCGTACAATTCTGTAGAGGGACCGCGGCAACCCGCCGACAAACCCGAGCCACAGGGTCGTATAAGAACTGACAGACGTTGGCAATGCGGAATCGAAGATGTTCGTCCAAACTACATGGGGTTTCCCAACATCAAAAAGCTGTTTGAGGTGCTCCCTATAATACGGATGATAATATTTTTTGGGTTTATATTGGGCACTTATCTATGGAAACTGCCAAATTTTGTGTTATATAGAGGCCGAAGCAGTAAAACACGTCCAAAGCTCGAGTCAGAGGAGGTTTAGGCTTTAGGCTTTGTTTAGGGTCTAGGGCTTTGGTTTAGGCATTGGATGAAATGATGTAGATAGCAAAGTTTCCTCGAAATAAGTTTCAGCCAGTATTGTGAACATGGAGCAACGAAAAGGTGGTTCTGGAAATGCCCAAAACCGCGGTATTCACAGAAAAAGTGGTCTAGGGGCTACGATATACAGGCCGACATACACACACACACAGATATATGTATATGTATATGTCTACATGCATATGTATATGTACACATGTATACACATGCATATTGACGATAAAGTCCAGTGCCCTAAGGGCAAAGGCCAGTGTTGTGGTCCCGGACAAGAGTACAAGGTGGCAGTTTGGAGCTCAGAAATGGAATTCAACATGCCTATATAGGAGTATATTATGGGGATTACATAGGGATTCAAGGGTATATTACGGGGATTCTATAGGGACTATAGGGGTACATTATGGGGATAAACAGGGATCTAAACCCTGAACCCATGACTTTGAAGACTCTAGGGATCTGGGTGTTGGACCTTTAAGTTGGACCCAACATTTACTGGGTTTTATTAAGGGACTTAATTTGAGTTACTCTCTTGGGAAACCGTAGTAATGACTATATACACCCATTATGGTAACTTAAAGGCCCGACTGTTGGATCTGACCTCAAATCTGCAGAAAGAGGTGGAAGCTGCATTGCAAGCTTGAAGCCTCAACCCTTAACCCTGTAAACCCTTAGATCCTGAAAAGGTTCGCGCTGATGAAAAATAACACGCGCTCGAACGGCGAGATAGAAGACCCCTGCATCACCAAGCTGGTGCAGCATGTGGCCTTCGAGGCCTGTGAGGGATCAGGCGGTGTCGAATCCATTCAGCAAAACTTCCTTCGACCGTTCTGGGGTGTATGGTGTTTAGCATGTGATGCCACAATGGTGTGGTGCTCTAATTCAGGACCTATCGAGTACGTTGTTGTATGGCTTATAGAGTTATGAGTATACACGTTAGGCAGAGGACTACTTTGGGGTTAAGGGTTTAGGTCTGCCGGTGTCTCACAGATTCTGAGGGATATTTTCCGCGTGGGTGGAGTAAGGTGAAATTTGTTCAGGAATATGTCGATGACAAGTTTTGAAATTATCCTCCCCAACCCCTCCACGTTCTGCATCTTCTCGCCCCAAAGCAAAGACTCCCAAAATGTCCAAGAAGTAATGTGAGAACTTCTGCACTTAGAGCTGACGTTTTTGGATATATTGCGGTTGAGTGAAAAAGCGGTTGTCGAGCAATGACACTTATCTTCATGCAGGCTTCTATAGTACCCTACACCCTAGGCCCCCAAACCAATTCCGGATCCTTGGTTGTTCATAGTCTTTTCGGAGATTGGAATTCCATACGTGCGTGCCCATGCAACAAGAAGTCTTAGTGGGCAATCATGTTGGCTACCTAGACGCTGAGTCTCAGGGGAAGTGGGTGGGCGCGTAGCCCGGCGTCAATTTCTGAACCCTCAGCTCATGGGTTTGATAAAAGGACGCGGTTCAGGGTTTAGAGTTTGGGGTATTGGGTGGGGGTATTTGGTGTCCTTTTATGAAAGGTACTTATTATAGTAAGCCAACCCTAAAACCCTAAGGATATGCTGGGGGGAAGATTCAAGGGGGACCCGCTTTTCGGAACCTGCTATTCAGGGTTTCGGGACGTGCGGCTTCGGGTTGAGGGCCGAGACCAAAAACTCGCAAGGTTCCCCCTCGATTAGGATCATCTGAGCTATAGTCTAAACTCCTTAAAGGTGTGTTATATAGGGGATATAGGGGAGCATTATAGGGCTCATTAAAGGGGAAACTAGGAGTTTAGACAATGGCTCATCTAAGGATGGTCCTTGCTAGTTAAGGGGAACGTGCTCGAGGTTGGTGGTAAGGGAACCCATGAAGTTACTCGAGGACAGCAATCTGGCCAGCTATGCCACGCCCTAGAAGGTTGCTGCACCCTAAACCCTTTTCTACAGGACCATGTGTGCTGTGGGGAAAAGGTCCGGTAAAAAACCTAAACCCGAAAGGCTTACAGTCGCAGCGGGCATGTCAAATTATTGCAGCTACTCCAGATAACAATATTATTGATGGAGGAAATCTTGCACCACCTTAAGTCCCTTAAGTCCTAGGTATTACAATAATGTAAGGCCCCTAGGTGGTGCAAGATTTCATCCATCAACAGTAGGGTTTACGGACCCTGAGACTTTCGGCTCCAGACTCTCTGCACTGACTCCGAAAACCCAAGCCGAAGCCAAAGCCTAAAAAGCCCGGATGATCAGTGCCCTAACCTTGGGTACTGCCCCAACTCATTGACTGTTGGATATCACTTATACTTACATATATAGCCCTTAATATGACCCCTATTATAGACCCAACTCTGACCTGTGAAAGGCCTTCTTTGCAGTAGTTGTGGCTGCTAGGCTGCACACAGAGGTTAGACCCAAACCCTATAGAACCTAAACCCTAAACCCTAAACCCTAAATCCCCAAACCCTTTGGAGCGTGGGGATTGCGTGCAAGGATGCTGGCCCCCTTACCCTTCCTCTCCTTAAAGGGGTCCCCCAAAATTTTCCTGGACCGAGGGCACCTTGAATCATCTCAACAAGAAACCCTATAGGGTTGAGGGTTCAGGGTTTAGGGTTTAGGGTTTATTAGGGTTTAGGGTACAGTATTTCAGGGATTTGGGATGGTGCAGGATCTTCTTTATGAACTTGCGGGCTCCATGAATCCTCTGTCTCTTACTGAGGGAGGGTCTGCGAGGGGATCCCTCAGAGTAGGTTTTACATGGAGTTCCCAAATACACCGAATAGAAAAAGCAACGGCCCTCATTCCACGTATCCTGGGAACTCTAAACCTTAAACCCGATATACTCGCTCCCCCACTTTTTCTTGAGTATGGTAAGCTGTTCCGGATGCATGCTTATTGACAGGTTGGTGAATGGCAAGTGTCCTCTTCATTTATAACCCAGAGGGTCCATGTACCTAATAATTAGGTACTTGGGGTTTGGGGAACAGTAATTATAGTACTGGTTTGGGTAAGTATGTGATTGTTAGGTATTTGGACCCTGAGGGTAACCACCTTGAAAAACTTTCATACGCCTGACTAACTAAACCTCATTCTTACACTAGAGGAATAAGATAAGCAGTAGTAGGAGGAACAACATCGTATCATTGTTACGTTTAGTGTAGTAGAAGTCGTAGTCGCAGTAGGGGAAGAGAACGAACAAGTAGAATGACAAGAACCTGCCGCAAGACGTATGAGCCGTCTGCACTCCTCGATAGTAGTCCCCTATATAATACCTTACATAACCCCATTTAACCATTTAAGGAGTTTAGAGTATGGCTCATATTGATATATCTACTAAGCCAGTAGAAGAAACTCTGCGACCCACCCGTGAGCCACTGTCACTATCAGGGTTCCTCAGATATCATTAACGGAGGACACGGGGGATCCCATTGGTTGTTTAGTATTCTCCCTAATATACTCCTTCATGAGGAGCCCATGTCCATCAAGAATATGGGGACCTTAAATCCTAAACTCTATAGCCCGCGTAGCCAATCCTGGGCTAGGAGGTAGGGTGTACGGTTGAGGGTTTACATGGTTCAAGGTTTAGGACGTGAACCTTATGTAGTGTGGATGGAGGAAATCTTGCACCATCTTGTATACTGTATACCAGAGGAAGCACATTCGAGTAGGTTTGTAGGAGTTATACACGGGTGTATAGGGGCATATCTGAGAGAGAGAGAGAGAGAGAGAGAGAGACAGAGAGAGAAAGAGAGAGAGAGGTATATGTATATATATATATATGTATATGTATACACGCATAAATAGATATTTGTATATACATACACATACATTATAGGGTTTAGTCTTCATAGAACTGAGGCCTCTCTTGGGAATCCTTTTGATCAGGATTGTGGGTGCATTTGGTGTATATGAGGGGACCTCCAGTTACGCAAATCTCCATAGGCCCTGGTTTAGGGTTTAGGGTCTAGGACCACAAACAATTGTTTTAGGGGTTTAGGGTTTAGGGTACGGTTTAGGACAACAAACAAATACTAGCCTCGCGATACATAGGTTGCTCTCGGGATAGGTGTAGAGATTGCTTCAGAGTTCATTGCTTCAAAGTTCTTGAGACTTCTTAGTGACGGTTTATAACGGGGGTATTATAGCCTACTAATAAGTGGGCTAATTCCTCTAAGGCCATCGGGTTGATAATAGGGTTCCAAGCCAAGCTACAAGTAGTTAGTAAGTCCCGTGTTCTCAAGCAGCAGCTTCATCACTGCTTTATACTCCCCAGCCATAAACCCCAAACCCTTTTCCATAAAGTCTAAACCCCTGTATGTTGGTGGTGCATCCATTGGGCCCACCGCAACGCAAAGAGACCCTAAAGCATGGCTGTGCAAGGGGTTTAGAGTTCAAGGAGTATTCTTTAGGAGGACCCCCCCACCCTGTAATAGTGGTATAATAAGAATATAAGAGGACCCTATATAATCCGTATTATCCCTTGTAGTCACTATTACTGCGTGGGGGGTCCACCTAAAGTATTCTTAGCTTTTGGTTCTGGGAGTGGGCTTATCACCGCATCTTGCAAAATCCAAAGTTACAGGATCCTTTTCTGGGGGCGCTACAACATTCTTTCGGTCCTGCCAGACATACATGGAGTCGATAGGGATTATGGGAATGTATGTAGGGATGATATTAGGATTTTACACACAACCCGACGGAGAATGGGCTGAGTTCGCCGCTGATTCGCCCCTCCATGGGTCTACAGCGGGAGATAATGGGCTGTGCCCGTGCGGTCGAAGCAGTGACTTTGCAAACAAAACAGCGCAGCCTTAAACCCTAAACCCTGAGTCCTAAACCCTACACCTGAGGTTGTCAACTCTTTGTTCCTGGGCATCGAAGTTCAGCTGCAGCTGACCGAGGGTGCGGCTGTGAATTCAGAGTGTCTCAGCTGATTTGGGGGGTTGCCCAAAATCAGGGGTACCTTTTTTCCCAAGAATAAAGATTATTGTATTTTGGGGTCTACATTGGGGTCCCCCTTGGGAAACTACGATTTAGGGTGTAATGTAGGAGCCTACTATTTAACCGATATTATGGTCCATTCCTTGCATTGCTATGGTGTAGGCTGCCACAAAAAGATCTCAAATGATATTAGTACCAGTTCAGGCCCCAGCCTAAACCCTAAACCCCAGCATGAGATTGGTAATTCTTATTCAGGCCCCTACATTAGGTCTAGGTTTGGGCTTCTCAAAATTCCCCCGCATAATCCTTCATACAGAACACCGTGGTCCCCTTGTAATCAGCGTATTTGGAAGCGGGGGCGGGGTCCCAAAATTTGGGGTACCATTTTGGAGGTCCCAATAATGAGGACTAGAAATTTTACGTGTATATTTGAGTACCCCTATTTCAAAACCCTAAGCCCCAAACCCTAAACCCCAAGCCCTAAACCCTAAACCCCTAAACCCCAAACCCTAAACCCTAAATCCTAAACCCTAAACCCCAAACCCTAAACCCTAGAAACGACCCTATCCCTAAGTCTTGAGATGCCGAATGTGTTTAGGGCTGTGGGGAAAGGACGCTGGAGGGTAGCCTGCTCAAAGGGTTTAGGGTGTAACCCTAAACCCTAAATCCAAAACTTTAGGGGTTTAGGCAAGGCTTAACTTAACCCTAAATCCTAGATCCTACACTTTAGTGGATTTTAGAAAATTGGGTTTAGGATCTCATCTCTCTAACGGGTAAGACTTTTGGGTTTAGGGTTTAGGGTCAACTTGCATCTAACTGAATAGACCACGCACGAAACTAAAAAAATGCCCAATGCAGAGAAAGTGCGCTAGATTGGTCTTGAGGTCTTATAGTCCCCCTTAAGCAGATAGAATACGGGGTATATGGGGATCTTCTTACAATATACCCAAAGCCATATTCTATCTACTTAAGGGAGACTGTAGCTTTAGGGTATGGCTTCTGGGCGGCTCATGCTCGCTTATTCGCATCCCGCCCAGGAGGACTTTTTCAGGACCAAGAGGGCGTTGACCGTGTGTGGCTACCCAGACCCTAAAGGGATCTAGAAATTAGAACCCCTAGAAGACTATGGCGAATTATATAGGGATGATATAGGGGATATTATGGCTTTATATAGGGGATCTAATTTTTAGATCCTCCCAGGGGTCTGGGTAGAGACTTGGAAGGCCAATCACAGGGATCCCAGCTGTTGGGCGAGGGGAGCGTACTGGAGAGCAGTCAAGGGACGGCGTAAGTACTTGTAGAACCACTTATAAGGCATGTGCTAGCCCCAGTAATCCAATCATGAACTCAACTGTTACCACGCATCCAAACCCTTAACCCAAAAAAAGGAAAGGCGGTCTCCATGTGGGTGGTTGTCAAAATTATGGTCCCTTTTTGGTTCCCTATTATAATACGGCACCTGATATGTAGGGTACCCAAAAAGGGAGCACAACTTTGAAAACAAACCATCTGTTTTCCATTCCTTGCGAAGTCTCCCTGGCCTTCCAACTCGGGTTTCGAGCTCAGGGACGGGCTCTGCTGGCAGCGTCAAAACAGCAGCCTCTAACTGTAGGGTTTAGGGTTTAGGGTTCATGGTTTAAGGTTTAGGGTTGGCTATGCCCAGATGCCTAACCTTTTGTAGTTGGCCATTCCAAACACTATGAAATCGCAGGAGACAGACAGAAGCCGAAGGAGGAACGGCAGTCCGGGCTCAGGTAAGTCTCAGATGTTTTTAGGGTTTAGGGTTTAAGTAGGCGCAGCAACTGAGACCATGCAAGAATTGGCCGGGCTCACACGCAGGGCTTAAGGTGTAAAATGTGTACATCTAAGGATCTTCATATATATCTATAGACGTAAAACAAATGTATGTATGTATGTATGTCTGTCTGTATGTACGTATGTATGTCTGTCTGTCTGTCTGTCTGTATGTCTGTATGTCGGTATGTCTGTATGTCTGTATGTCTGTATGTCTGTATGTCTGTATGTCTGTATGTCTGTATGTCTGTATGTCTGTATATCTGTACGTCTGTATGTCTGTATGACGGTATGTATGTATGTATGTATGTATGTATGTATGTATGTACACATACATACGCGTATGCGGTATATCAGGTAGATACCCCAGAGTTACTGCAGTGGATGAGGGGCCCGTGGTTTTATTGTGCTCCTAGGTACCCAGAGTACCCTTTTCCCTCTGTATTTTGGGGTCCCTTGAATCACCCTAAACCCCAAACCCTAAAGCTCAACATTTGGAAAAAGGGTACCCTTATGCCTAAGGGGTTACGGGGAACCTAGGCCCTCATTGTACAGCAGTTGCAAGGTTAGTCCGTGTGGTGCAGTACACCTTCACCGCTCTATTCACAATTGAGCTGGTACTTCGACTGATTGCCTTCGGCTTCAGACGCTTGCGCCTCTTCTGCATGGAGCCCATCCTGAGCAACTTAACTTATTGGTGCTGAAGCGGTGCTGCAATGACCCCTACAGGGGCTATGGGTTGACCAAGGGTCCATTAAGGGTGGACATAGGGGTCCGTTTGGTAGTTTCTTACGGTCCCTCACGTGTTTTCCATGATAGAAACCCATGTCCATGAGTTATACGGGTAATACTGACTGTAGCTCATGTAATCCCATATGATCGTCCCTATACTCACTCCCTCCAAACCCTCAACCCCTAACCTCTAAA